TCATTTCACTTGAGAAAAGAGATAGATGTTTAGAAATTTCTGCTTGTGAACAATGGGAAAACCCTGTCCCGAAAAGGGGAAAGGGTACTGGGCCAGGAGTTAACAGAGCTCACGGACAGAGATTTAAACTAGAAGTGAAGGGGGAAGGGGATAAAACCAGACCCAATGGTAATAAGCCTGGGGGTGAAGGGCCAAGGATGGGGGTGAAGTCGGGAGCACAGCTCAAGTGCATCTACACTAATGCATGTAGCATGGGCAACAGACAGGAGGAGCTGGAAGCTGTTGTGCAGCAGGACAGCTATGATGTGATCTCTGTCATAGAAACGTGGTGGGATGACGGTCATGACTGGAATGCTGTGATGAGTGGCTATAAGCTCCTCAGAAGGAATAGGCAAGGCAGGAGAGGCCGGGAAGTGGCTTTGTACATTAGGGAGTGTTTTGACTGCATAGAGCTAGATTCTGGTGACGATGAATTTGAATGTTTATGGGTAAGGATGAAGGGGAAGGCTGACAAGGGAGTCTGCTATAGACCACCCAGCCAGGATGAGCAGGTTGGTGAAATATTCTATAAGGGGCTGACTGAAGTCTCGCACTCACCAGCCCTTGTTCTGGTTGGGGACTTCAACCTACCTGACATCTGCTGGGAATACAACACAGCAGAGAGCAGGCAGGCTAGGAGGTTCCTTGACTGCATGGAAGATAACTTCCTGACACAACTGGTAGGTGAGCCTACCGGGGGGGTTCCTTGTTAGACCTACTGCTCACAAATAGAGAAGGACTAGTGGGAGATGTGGTGGTCAGAGACTGTCTTGGGCTTAACGACCATGAATTGATCAAGTTTTCAATTTGTAGTGATGTAAGGAGGGGGGGTAGCAAAACCTCCACCCTGGACTTCCGGAGGACGGGCTTTAGCATGTTCAGAACACTGGTTGAGAGACTCCCTTGGGAGATAGTCCTCAAGGACAAAGGGGTCCAGGAAGGCTGGACGCTCTTCAAGAAGGAAATCTTAAAGGCCCAGGAGCAGGCTGTTCCCCTGTGTTGCAAGATTAAAGGGCAGGAAAAATGGCCAGCCTGGATGAACAAGGAGCTCTTGATGAGACTTAGGGAAAAAAAGGAGAGTTTACCACCTTTGGAAGAAGGGACAGGCAACTTGGGAGCAGTACAGAGATCTCGTTAGGTTATACAGAGAAAAAATTAGGAAGGCAAAAGCCCAGCTGGAACTCATTTTGGCCATTATCATAAGGGACGACAAAAAAAAAAAGTTTTTATAAATACATTAACAAAAAGAGAATCAGGGAGAATCTCCATCCCTTACTGGATGCTGGGGGGAACACTGCAACCAAAGACAAAGAGAAGGCTGAGATACTTAATGCCTTTGCCACTGTCAGAGTCACCTTTCCCTCAGGGTGTTCAGCCTCCTGAGCTGGAAGATCAGGATGGAGAGCAGAACAGCCCCCCCATAATGAGGAAGTAGTTAATGATCTGCTTATGCACCTGGATATGCATAAGTCTATGGGGCCAGATGGAATTCACCCAAGGGTACTCAGGGAGCTGGCAGGAGAGCTCACCAAGCCTCTCTCCATCATCTATCAACAATCCTGATCAACAGGGGAGGTATGACTGGAGGGTGGCCAACGTGAAGCCCATCTACAAGAAGAGCTGAAAGGAGGATCTGGGGAACTACAGGCCTGTCAGCCTGACCTTGGTACCAGGAAAGATCATGGAGAGCATCATCTTGAGTGAGCTCTCCCAGCAAGTGCAGGGCAGGCAAGGGATCAGGGCCAGCCAGCATGGGTTTAGGAAAGGGAGGTCCTGCTTAACCAACCTGACGTCTTTCTATGACCATGTGACCCACCTTCTCGATGAGGGGAAGGCTGTGGATGTTGTCTACCTGGACTTTGGTAAGGCCTTTGACACCGTCCCCCATGGCGTTCTCCTGGAGAAGCTGGCAAATCATGGCATAGACAAGTGTACTCTTCACTGGGTAAAAAACTGTCTGGATGGCCGTGCCCAGAGAGTTGTGATTAAGTGGGTGAAATCTTGTTGGCGACCAGTCACCAGTGGTGTCCCTCAGGGCTCAGTTTTGGGGCCAGTCTTGTTCAATATCTTTATTGATGATCTGGATGAGGGGATTGAGTGCACCCTCAGCAAGTTCGCAGACAACACCAAACTAGGTGGGAGTGTTGATCTGCTTGAGGGTCTGAAGGCTCTACAGAGGAACCTGGACAGGCTGGTTCAATGGGCCAAGGCCAGTGGGATGAGGTTCAATAAGGCCAAGTGCTGGGTCCTGCATTTTGGTCACAACAACCCCAGACAGTGCTACAAGCTTGGGGAAGAGTGGCTGGAGCTGCCTGGCAGAAAAGGACCTGGGGATGTTGGTGGACAGCTGGTTTAACATGAGCCAGCAGTGTGCCCAGGTGGCCAAGAGCATCTTGACTCGTATCAGGAATAGTGTGGCCAGCAGGAGTAGAAAGTGATCATGCCTCTGTACTTGGCACTGGTGAGGCCTCACCTCGAGTACTGTGTTCAGATCTGGGCCTCTCACTACAGAAAGGACATTGAGCTTCTGGAGTGTGTCCAGAGGAGAGCCACCAAGCTGGTGAGGGGCCTGGAGAACAAGTCATATGAGGAGAGGCTGAGGGAACTGGGCATGTTTAGTTTGGAGAAGAGGAGGCTGAGGGGAGACCTCGTTGCCCTCTACAACTACCTGAAAGGGGGTTGTAGAGAGGTGGGTGTTGGCCTCTTCTCCCAAAGGAATAATGACAGGACCAGAGGAAATGGTCTGAAGTTGTGGCAGGGGAGGTTTAGATTAGATATTGGGAAGAATTATTTTACTGAGAGGGTGGTCAGGCACTGGAACAGCCTGCCCAGGGAGGTGGTGGAGTCACCATCCCTGGAGGTATTTAAGAAGCGTGTAGATGTGGCACTTCAGGTCATGCTCTAGTGCCCGAGATTGTAGAGGTGTTTTGTGTGTGTGTGGCTGGACTTGGTGATCTCAGAGGTCCTTTCCAACAATGAAGATTCTGTGATTTTCCTAATTTTCTTTAGCTCATCTACCTTTTGTTTCTACTTTGTGGCTGGTTGGTTGTCTTTAGCATGTGGGTTTTTTTGTTTTTGTCAGAGTTAGGTTGATGGTTGGTCTAGACGATCTTAAAGATCCCTTCCAACCTAAAAAATTCTATGATTCTGTGATTTTGAGCGTTGTCACCTAGTCCCTCACTGTGTTCTGTTTGTCTTGACCTCATCCCATTTCACAACTAGATGGGGTGCTGTAAGAATTGCTGGGGCTCCTGGAATCAATGGGTTTAACGTTGCGAAATCGAACGTAGCGGATGGTTAGTGCGTGGCTTGTATGGCAGTAGCTTTTGGGATGGCTGTAGAGCTCACTCGGAGCTTCCCAAGTACACCAAGTGACAGGAGCCCACGCTTCTGAGAAGTTGGGGCTCGCCGCTCCATTTTCCCCTGTAAATAATCACTAATAACTCGTAAGAGAGAAGCACCAATATACTTTATTGCTATAAACCAGGGAGTTAACCAAGTTCCACGGCAAATGCAGCGGCGGTTGAAGGAGATGATTGGCTGGTGAGGTGTGCTGGGTTACTGCAGAGAGGACTGGGTCAGACAGGGTGTCGGGGAGACCCTGGTGTCCAGTCCCCTGCCCTGCAGGAGGGCATAACGGGCCTTGGGCCACTATTTAGAAAGATAAAGTCCTGTTGGCGTATTTGCACACTCCACCACGGAGGGGAAGGGGTGCGCTGTCCTGGAAGTGGGGGCTTTGCATGTAAGTGTTGTGTAAATTTAAACTACGTGTAATAAAATTCACTTTTTTTTGTACCTGTTCAGTAGCAAATTTCTTTGGACTTTGAAGAAAATTGCAAGCTTTTTGTTACATGCAGCGTACAAGGTGCTTTCAAAGAAACAACTGAAGAAAACCTACACCCCAAAAAACAAAACCCAAAGCCAACCCCTGGCCAGTCTATGTATTACTGAATCTGACTGATTTCTCTGTGCTTGACAAATACCTGTGATCTTGATTTCAGAAACCAGCAAATGAATTTGTAGGCACTAATGTAGGCCTTGGTGATTACACTCTGATTAATTTGTCACTAATATGGGCATATGTAACCGTACCCTTACAGCAGGCGTGCACGGGCATACACATCTACTGCTTGTATTGTGTGCTTTTAAGGTGTTACAGCCCCACCAAACACAGCATAGAGCAGAACACCTGGAACCACAGATTTAATGTTTTGGTTAACTACTGGTCTCATTTTGGGTGGTTGCTGTTAAAAAACAGAATTGTGTACTGTTGATAGAGGCCAAGGACCTTCTGTAGTGTGACAGTGGGAGTTCAGTCTGACAAAACACTTCCAAATGTGTTGGAAATATGTCTAATAAACAACAACATGTTTTGGACTGCAAACATTAGACTAAAGGTCGAGCTCAGCAAGGGGTGGATTAGAAGAGTGCAGGACTTGTCCTCTAAGCTGCTGTCAGTAATTCAGATTGTTGCCATAGGGAAATAAAAGAGCTCATGTGAGTGTTTGTCTTTTCAGGGAGGTGGCATCTTTCTTTGTTCCTGAATAAAGGATCAAGCCATGCTCCACGTTTAATGCACTTGTTGTTTTAGTTGGGAGTTTTCTAGGCAGAACAGCTGTGAGCAGCGTTTGAGTCCTTGGCTGAGGCAGTGAATGGTTGTGTTTCTAGTCCTGGACAGCCACCAGGCCCAAACTGTGTAAGTAAGTAAAAATATTAGTATAGCTGATGGGTCTACCCCAAAAGCTTATGTTTTGAAAAGCTGTTATTCTGTGCTTATTGATCTCCGCCCTCATAGAGAACAAGCTCAAGTTATGAATTTTGACCAGTGGTGTCTAACGTGGTCTTGGGGGCAGCAGCTCACTCTGGTCAAGGTGTAGTTAAAGAACGGTGTGACAGCATCCCCGCTCCTCAGCCACATCCCGTGCAACAGTGGGGCTAGTGAGCACAACTCAACACCCAGCTTTCTGAAAAACATTTTATTACTTATTCATTAACTTACCCTTTTGTAGCTAAACAATGCTTTTCTGTATTCAAACAATTTTTTTTTTTTTTAAGACAAAACATCTGGAAGTGGTATCCTTTCTTAAGGGAGAAAGGAAGATACAGTTCATAGATCCATTTTACACTGTAGGAGTTGTCTCTAGAGTACAGTGCCCAACCCTTTCCGGGCTGCCCGCAAACACTGTTTCACCAACTGCCCTTAAACAGAAGGAGTTATACATTAAGCGGTCAACCACGAATCACTGAATTAAAACCAAACAACCCAAACTCCTGTTTATAATTCAGAAGGTATCTTTGAGTGCAAGTTCTGCTCATTTATCTTCTTTGGAAAGCCAAAGCAGCAACATGATCCTTACACCGTCACTGTCCAGATGCAGACAGCGAAGCAGCTCCCACGCTTAAAGTGACTGTAACGAGTGTTCTGTGGCAGCTCACGCTCCCTTGGTTTTGAGGGGAAGAAAAAAAAAAGTCTCTATTGGAGGGTTTTCTTGAGCTTTAAAAAAAGCTACATTTGGTGTATAACCCTCATAGATCCATGGGAAAATTTAAAGAAAGGGACAACTTAAAATTATTCCAACAGTGAGGTATAAAAATGAGTAAAACACACAGTTCCTGCTTATGTCCCTATCTTGCAGGGGAAGGGAGGGAATTACTCAGACACTGACCCAGACGTGCTCTATGGTTTCTATCGTTAGAAAAATCCTAAATATTGACACCATCACAGACAGACTTAGGGGTTAGTCAGACACTGTGCTAGATGTACTAGCGGTGTTCTCTGGGGTAGGAAGCACCACTTCTTTTAAGTCCTGCAGCAGCTCGATCTTGCTATCCAGTCTTTTTCTGCTTTCCAGAAGTTCCTGGATTTTCTCCTCTGTTCCTATTAGGAGAAAGAAAGGGATAAAAGCTCTTATTCATATGTAACTAGTATTAATTTAAAATATAATGTCATATATGCACCAACGCTTAGTTGAACCTACAATAAAACTACAATAAAACTTTGCCTTTCTGAAGCAAAGTCGTTGGCCTGACACCCTGTACGTGTGGTCTCTTCATAAAGAGATGGAGCAAATCTTGTAGGGGAGGCATAAGCTGAAGTAGAGTGTCAAGAAAACCCAAAGCAGTAGAGTTACGAACTTTTTCATCTACTATATCATACTATAATCTCAAAGCTAGCTACAGTACAGATTTAATTTAAACTATCACAGCAAATATAAAAATTATTAGTTTCATTACTAACCCAATGTTACTTGGCATATGAGCTTTAACAGTTCCATTTTCAGAATCCATTTTTAAGGGGACTCCTCCACTAAAAATGCAATTAAAATCTTTAAACATAACATCTCTGAATTGCACACTTAAAGCAAACGTTGGATTTTAGCCAACAGCAACAACAAAAGAATTAAACCTAAGAGATGATTTGGACAACTGCATTCACAGAATGATATGGAGTTGGAAGGGACCTCTGGAGATCATCTAGTCCAACCCCCCTGCCAAAGCAGGTCCACCTAGAGCAGGTTGCAGAGGAATGTGTCCAGGTGGGTTTGGAATGTCTCCAGAGAGGGAGACTCCACCACCTCTCTGGGCAGCCTGTTCCAGTGCTCTGCCACCCTCAAAGTAAAGAAATTCCTCCTCATGTTTAGATGGAACTTTCTGCGTTCAAGTTTGTGCCCATTTCCTCTTGTCCTGTCCCTGGACACGACTGAAAAAAGCCCGGCCCCATCCTCTTCACACCTACCTTTTAAGTATTTATAGGTGTTGCTCAGATTCCCCCTCAGCCTTCTCTACTCTAGACTAAAAAGACCCAGGTCCCTCAGCCTCTTCTCATAAGAGAGATGTTCCAGTTCCCTAATCATCTTTGTAGCCCTTTGCTGTACCCTCTCCAGCAGTTCCCTGTCCTTCTTGAACTGGGGAACCCAGAACTGGACACAGTACTCCAACCTTTATGGCTGGAAATCACCCTCACGCTCTGAACCTCAGAGTTAGCTAATTAAAACTCCTTTCCCTTTTCACAGGGATAAATTAAAGCAGGAGTTAGAACAAAGCTGCTGTTAGAGAGGGAAATGGGAGTGAGGGACTTGCCTCTCTGAAAACCAGTTTTAACCTTGTTGCGTGCAATAGCTGAGACTGGAGTCCAGGCCCCAGATTTTCCTTCCACCGTCGGTGGTCCCAAGCACCCGCTCCTTCCCCGTTTTCATTTCACTCTGAGCATTCTCAGCTTGTTTTCCAAAGCACATCACAGCTGCCCTCAGGTACAGGCGAGTTCTGCTCACAGCGTTTAATGCTCTGAACTGCCACACAACAGCCAGTCTGATGAGCACTCACCAGAAAGGAGCAGAGCTGTAACACGGGGAAGTTGCTGAAGGGAGGCTGTGGAGAAGGAAGGGAAATCACAACAGGACAGGAGTGCACCCTGCAGGAGAGGGAAGACCCTCTGGGGCATAGACCCTTTGGTCTTTGAAAGCTGTGGGACTGTCACTTGCCTCCCCCATCAGGTCATACAGCCATACTGTATTTCTAAAGATTCAGGTAGCAACGGCTTTTATTCAATTATTCATATAACGTTGAGAGAAAAGCTCCTCGGAATTTTCATTTTAAATGGTCGTTTTATCAAAATGCTCAGAAGAACAACCTCAATGCCAAAAACCACACCAACTGCTACTGCTCTGACAGGCTTTTTTCACGTACCTGAATGAATATTTGTCAGTATATTTTCAAACAGTCCACAGTCAAAGAGTGAAATCACTGTCTCTTCATACTCTGGGGAAAGAGATCATTTGATTTAGTATTACTGAGGAAAGGTTTACAGAACTTTTACGCTAATGCAGAGCCCTACATCAGAAGTGGCACAAAACAGTAATTATTTTATCCAAAGGTATTACTCACAACTTTGTAAAGTGAGGAGGAAACAGGAGAGGAAGGTTTGATATTTTCTTTTTTCACTGTGTTGTGGGCAAATGCTTCCTGCAAACTGATACTTAAACCAGTGAAACCCCCAAACAGACACTAAGTTGCCAATAAAGTTCTAACTGATCATCCAAAGACTTAACAGGGACATACTCATGGATTTTCTCCCTCAGAGTGCTGGAATTAGCAGAGCTGGTTGCTCTGTGAAGCAGTAAGAACAACACAGACTTACGATCCAAATCAAACTGCCTGGTTCTCTTCAGGACCTCTCTCCAGTGCCTGGGAGAAGAGCTCAGGCTGAACCTACCTATGATTATGCCAAAAAGTAAAAGCTGGCTTCAAAAATTCAAAGTTAGGAGGCCTTACTAGAGCACGCAGAGTTGGCAGCTCTTCCCCTCTGACGACACAGGGATGCCAAAAGACCCTCACTCTCCACCTGCTCTGCAGGTCCAGACCCAAGGCAGGACCCAGTTACTTAGCACTGTAGAAGTATCTTCAGGAAGGTGACCCAGGGCCAAGTGCCAGGCACTCAGATCAGCATTTCTGCTAAAGGCAGGGTCCCCCGTGGGGCTCCATACCTGTTTCTGAGGTGTTGTCGTCCATCAGTTTCTCCTGCGCCAGGTGGAGTGTGTCCAGCATTTCTTCAAAGATGTCATCCAGAAGCCCAGCTTGCTTGCATTTTCTAAGAAAATCTATTCGGACTGTTAAAACACAAAACCACACACTCTTATACAGAAGTGATCCTCACCGCTGCTCATTTCAGAAACTAAAACTTTGGTTTAAGTCTCCTTTCCAGTAACAAATACTAAGGCAATCTCTCCAGCTACCCTCTAGGCCCATGGTCAGGCAAAAACATAAGCATAGCGCTAGGTATAAAATTACCTAAGCTCTAGATTTGGCGTCGTTAATTGCAAGCAAGTATCTCCACAACCCCAAATGCACCATTCCTAAATTCTCCCGATACCCCCTAGTATAGGAAAGCAAGCAATTTGTCTTGCTGGTTTTTTCTTTCACTCCTCGGGACCACACCACAGACCAAATCACAGAATCACAGAATCTTCTAGGTTGGAAGGGACCTTAAAGATCATCTTGTCCAACCGTCAACCTAACTGACAAAAATAGACACCCACACAACAAACAAGGAGCATCATCACTAAACCATACCTCCCAGCACCACATCAACCCGTCTTTTGAACACCTCCAGGGATGGTGCCTCAACCACCTCCCTGGGCAGCCCATTCCAATGCCTGATAACCCTTTCAGTGAAAAAATTTTTCCTAATATCCAGCCTGAACCTCCCCTGGCGCAACTTGAGGCCATTTCCTCTCGTCCTGTCGCCTGTGACTTGAGAGAAGAGACCGACCCCTGCCTCTCTACAACCTCCTTTCAGGTAGTTGTAGAGAGCAATAAGGTCTCCCCTCAGCCTCCTCTTCTCCAGGCTGAATAACCCCAGTTCCCTCAGCCTCTCCTCATAAGACTTGTGCTCCAGACCCCTCACCATCTTTGTCGCCCTTCTCTGGACCCACTCCAGCATCTCAATGTCTTTTTTATGGTAGGGGGCCCAAAACTGGACACAACAGGCTTAAAGGACAGAAAATACCGCAAGAAGCGAATCGCTACTGGACTTGGTGAAAGAATGAAGCCTACTTTTACTCCAAGTGATCCAGGCGTTAAAGTTGTTTATTACAGCCCCCCTCACACGCCTGTTCTGCCAGATTCGGATCGCTAGGGAAATAACTACCCATTTGTTCTTCATCTCAGAGCAGCAGGGCAGGGACAGGTTTCAGGGAGATCGGTTCAATGGGCTGTTCAAAAGGAAAGAGCTGTCAGGCAGCTGGCACAAGTCAGCCAGTCTCCATTAAAATAAACGTTACTTTTTACTGGAGACATTTGGGAGAAAATAAATGTCTTTTCACTTTCATTCACTAACACAGATGCCCTACAAGTATTCTAGGATTCTTTATGGTTTCCCTGTCCTTTATAGTGGTAGTAAAAATTAAGAAAAAACATTAGGCGGTGTCACAACACCGCACCTGTGTACTAAGCTTCGCCACGGGAAGGTGGGTAATCCCCACTAACACCTTCCAAACTTCCAAGAGACAACGTAATCCCGACAAGCAATTGCAGCAGGGCTTTTGGGATAACCCAAAAACTGCAGAACTGCAGGACGGGCCCAGCGGTTGAATCTCACTGTTGCCACACCGTGTTGATGCAGTAAGATTCTATATTGTGTTAACACCCGAGGTACACCTCGGGTTTCAAAGGTAAGATAAGCCGGCGGTGGCAGTAACTGCAGCAGCATTTAGTGAGCCCCATTTTACTGAATTTTTCACTGAATTTTTTAGAGTTGGAAGGGACCATAGAGATCATCTAGTCCATTCCTACCCAGTGAGCTACAGCTCCTGTCCACGGTGCGCTGAACTCCTCTCCCACCGCTGGGTCACTGCTCAACGTCCCCTCCTCACAGCACCTCCTCTGCTAACCCATCCCAGAGCCTCACCTGCCAGAACTGCCCCCCATCTCCTCCCAGAGGGGCTCAGCACAGGGAGACTGATCTGAAGGAGGGCTGATTCCCTTCTCAATTTAATTGTATTGACAGAGGAGGTGGAGGGGCGGGGTGGGAAGTTAGGGTGGTGTGTGTGCACAGCACAGAGATTTATTTTCTGCACAGTTCACAGAATCACAGAATCTTCTAGGTTGGAAGGGACCTTAAAGATCATCTTGTCCAACCGTCAACCTAACTGACAAAAATAGACACCCAAAACCTGCCCAGTCGTTCCACAAATCAGAGTTCTGCTCCCTTGCTAGAGGATGGAGCCACTCAGGAGAATAATAAGGACACATTTGCAGCACTGCTGCTATCAACCATCTCCAAGCTCTGAACTTCAACTTAACAGATCGCAGTTATCTCCTAGTTGTTCTATAAACCGAGTCGCACCTTTATGCCTGTTGTTTTTCCTTTTCAGTGTTCGCAAACTGTTTTCTTCTGCTGACTCTTCTGTGCTCTGTAAGAAAATGAAAACAACGTATTTTTACTTCATACTGACGTTAACTGCTTTGTTTTCATTCTCTTACCTCTATATTAGCAGAAAGATAAAAAGCAGCCCATATTTCTGTGAATACCGTCAGCCTCCCTGCACAGCTAATGACATTCCTCTCCAGGATTTCCACTTTTAAAAGCAGAAGCAAAAACTGCTTCAAAGCAAAAGCTCTTTAAAAAAAGCTCAACACCTGGGACACCACCCTCATAGAATCACAGAATGAGATGGGGTTGGAAGGGACCTCTGGAGATCATCTAGTCCAACCCCCCTCAACCAAAGCAGGTCCACATAGAGCAGGTTGCACAGGAACGTGTCCAGGCAGGTTTTGAATGTCTCCAGAGAAGGAGACTCCACCACCTCTCTGGGCAGCCTGTTCCAGTGCTCTGCCACCCTCAAAGTAAAGAAGTTCCTCCTCATGTTTAGGTGGAACTTCTTATGTTCAACAGGTCTTGTCCTGTCACTGGGCACGAATGAAGAAAGACTGGCCCCATCCTCTTGATACCCACCCTTTTAAGTATTTATAGGCCTCCTTAATTATTGCATTTGCAGATAGCACAGATGTCAACAAACGCCTGCTGCTAACTCCCAGTCCAAATGATGTTTATTTCCCTAGACCTGGTGTAATAGTAGAAAGGATTTGAGAGGAGAGGGGGGAATATTTTTTCTTTTCCTTTGGACAGGACGCAGTCATTCTCTGCTGTTCCACGTCATACCACAGCACTACAAATAATTCTTAAGCTCTGCCACAAAATTCCACCGGTGAACAATTTATCCCACAGTGGTAAATCCTCAGCTTCTTACTTGCAGTGTTTGTATTGATTTCCGAGATCGCTGGCGCCGGGGAGCAGCAGCAACAGCCCATTGCTGTGGGTAACAGGTCAAATGAATCTCAGTTATAATACCAGGAACGGAAGTGCTTTTACAGCTGAGAAATTCTGGGAGACAAATAACCTACCCTTACGAGAGTGCTACCAAAAAGCTGCAAAGATCATCCACGTCCCCTCACATGACCTCCCTTTAATCTCCAAACCTGGGAAAGGCAAAAGTTTTTCCCAGGGAAAGCTGGATGCTAATTCCTCTAGAAAGGAGACATCCTGACACCCCAAGAGTCAACGGGATTCCCATGCATCCTTCCACGGAGCTGAGAGAACCACCTCGGAACAAGCTGTATTTACAGGTTTTTCCAACAGCAGCCTTTAAAACAACTCCCAGAGGGAGCAGCCAGAGGCTTGCTCTGCTTGATAGCTCCCGAGCCCTTGGGTTGCCTGATCTGCAATGAAAATCTGCCACGTTTACCAGAGGCAAAGGCTCACAAACCAGTAAACGCCAGGTTAAAAGGCCAAGTGACTCATCAAAAGCAGTTTTTCATGGAAGCTGTGTCAAGCCCTAAGCAAATATTGAGGGCTGTAGTATTTTCAAAGACAAGGAACCCTCAATGGGAAGCTCCTTCTGGTCATGCCAAGATCAGAGCCACCGAGTCAGCCTTGTTCAGAGGTTCCTAATCATATTTGTACCATGTTACTTGAGGGCAACATTGGCTCTATCTGAAGCAGCTCCAAATGCAAACAGCTTTGTTTTGACAGAAAGACAAGATCAAAACAAGGCAGCCATAAAGGAAAAGTTATTGCTTCTGTGAGGAATTCTCTTTCTGAATACACTGTCAAAATACTCCACTAAAGAAGTCCTTTGCTGTAGCAGATGTGGGCTCCAGTTTTAGGACCATTGAAGTCAGAATTACCATTTGTTCCGTGATGGTGGAAGATTTCAGTGCTTGTCTTCTCCTCTTACTACCTGAACCTAGGAATCAAGAAACAACAAAGTAACAATGGTGTCAACCTCAGACTGACCATTTCACAGCAAATTCTCCCTTTTCCCCAAAAGCTACAAAAGCGAGGCACTTGGGTGGAAAGGCAAGAGTATGTTTCAGCTTCCCCAAATACCTGACATTTCAGTGGAATTCACATTATTTCCAAGTAAAAAAAGTTACAAGCCTGAACCCTTACGAAGAACTGCAAATCACTGTAGCATTAGGATATTACTTTGCCTTTTAAACTCGGTATAAAGCAAATCCCAGTTTTTAACATAAGATTTTTGATTGAGGCTGAGTGAACTTATTCTTCCCAGCAGCAGCACTACCTCTAAGTGGTAAAAACTTCGGGCAAAGTTATGAAAGATGAATGGGGTTTTTTTCAGTCAATTCTTGTTTATGTTAATACACCGTTAAAACCAAGACTACATAAGGAATTTAGGTGTCCCCAAAGACATACAAATGGCATTAGGTTTTCCATCAATATAATGACCTCCTAGAAAGCCTCCAGAAGCAGTTTGACTTGTAAGTTTAATATTATTTATGCTACAAAGTGGGTTTAGTGACATGGTATGAGATCTCTGCAAAATCATCTTCTTTCATTCTGTCCTTTCTACCAACATGTCCCACCATCCATCCCCCTCTCCATCATCCTAACTGGCAGCTGGTGAAAACAGAGACAGCTCCACAAGGAGAGAAAGGTAACTCCATCAAAGACGACACAGCAGGAGCACAGAAAGCTAGAAAGAGTTCAACTATCCATCAAAACCTGAGGGTTTTCAACACAGTGGGGTTATATGTCCCCTTCCCATTAAACTCTACATCCTTTGGGCAGCACTTACTAAGTTTTTCCCTGTTGGTACAGGAAGGCTGTTGAAACAAGTTTGGGGTTTGGGTACTTGACTTTGAGTATGGTGCTGTACGTTTGCATTTTTCACAGCCTCAAATGAGGTCACAGCCTCTCACTTTATTCTGGGTGGTCTAATTTGGAGCAGCCTAGGAGACGTTGGTGTAGGCACAAAGTGTTGCTTGCTGTCTAGTGGGACATCTTTGATCTGTGGTAGGATTTTCTCAGCTCTTCCTAATAAAAACTTATAAAACTTGATGCCTTACAAAACAAGAACACCACAGTCCAACGCTTCCTTCTCCCCACTATTTTACATTTGTCAGCCTTTACTCTGGGTACATCCAATATTTCCAGTTAAGCTGAAGTTAGAGCCTGTCTCCAAGTCCAAAGTGTCCTCCCATCCCTGCTGTACAGAGCTGCAAGGAGACCTCTTAGCTCCTAAGGCATTCTGTCCCCTTCCAATCACAGAGCAGGGCCCTGACATTTCAGCACAGCAATGTTGTCTGGACCAAGAACAAGGAGATGTTCCTTGACCCCATTTTCTCCAAGCTACCAGGGTAAACAAGCCAGGAGATGCAGCCCTTTTGTACCAGCTCCTGCTCCCACACAGCCCAGCGCAGAGGAACAGCCGAGCTACTTCACCTGGGTTGGATCCCAAAAGACAAAACTCTACCATGAAGCCACCACTTCCATCTCAGCCTGTCTCACTCCCCACCCTGTGTCTGACCCAGGAGTGGGCCAGACAGAGTACCTGCTACTTCAGCCAACTCACCAGCAGATACCTCTGGCTATTTTGAGCACTACCCATGCATCTGAGAGCTACTCAGAGGCAGAAGACACTGGGTTTGGAGAACCAAGTGTCATTTACCCAACTCCCACAGCTGCTCCTCACCTCCTGGGGTTCAGCTACTCTCTCAGACAGAGGTGGGAGAAGTTCATTCAGGAGGCAGGGCAAACACTGCCAGCAGAATCCATTTACCCCTCATAATCAGAAAGTCTCCAAAGTAAGCACCTCTGAAAGATCTCCTCTAGGAGAAAACTCTCTTCTAAGGGAACAGGCCACACGTTGTATATGCAGCACCCGAAGACACCAAGACCTTCAACCTCATAAGATTTAAGCCATCCTTATGAAGGGAGAGGTCTACAAGGCTGAGGCTTATGCCTTAATGTCATCTCATACTGGAAACGAAGCAATCCTGGCCCTGTCTAGTACTTGAGCACCTGGGAACACTGGACAGACCAATGAGACCACAGAAATCAAACTGATTTTAAAAAGGGAGGGAAAGTCAGGCCTCAAAACTATGGATTAGTAAAAAAGCAAAACTACTAAGTGAAACAAGAATTTTGTCAGAACCACAGCAGTATCGGGTGTTACACAGACTGTATGTCTGGCTAAGAGGCCCCAGACCCTATGACTAAAAAGTTGAAATGACAATGACCTAACCCGCTGCTTGCACGGCATCAGGGTGGAGCCAGACTCTGTCAAGAAAATTAGCCAAAATTCCTAAGACTTCAGTGGCAGCACATCACTCTTAGCATTAGTGCTCAGAGTTTGATTGAGCTTCACTTCAAAGTGAAGGCCAGTCCAGGACCCACTCCGTTTTGAGCGGGATTGTATGCATGAGGTTAACAAAGTCACAGCGTTGGTTGGTTAAATCAGTGAGACCCCTGACTACCTCTGAATCAGCGAGGATCAGGACTGCCAAATTAGGCTGCATTTCTGTAGCAGAGGAAGCAATCCTTAAACAGGGGTTGCAAACCCCTTTTTGTTACACTTAAAAAGCTCTTTGGGATCCTTCAGAATGAAAGGCCCTATTAAAAAAACTCCTGCAGTGACAACAGAAGATGCAAATGTTAAGGTGACCACTCCTGTAACAGCCCTCTCTGCTAACCAAGTGCAAGCTTGTGTATCTCTCCTTAGCGTGGCTGTGATATCTCACATGGGTTTTACAAGGTGCTTGGGCCTACCTGCCCACACTGACTCAGAATAATTCCATGAAAGATCAGGTCCACAGTGTTTTAAGTAAGTTTTGAGGGATATTTGGGGAAGTTCACACAAAAACATTTCCTATTTCAAAAAACCTTCTTGATTTTTGTGCATAGGCATGGATCTCAACCAAACCACTCCTGCAAGACTAGAAATCCACCACTCAGTTATAAAGGTGGAGTAACATTTATTCTGTTCCAATGAGCTATTGGCTGTAGGATGCAAACCTTTAAACGAAACGAAATCAATGAAGCCATTAAAGAAACTCACCATACTGATTGGTCCTATTGCCTGGGTCATGTTTTGGGCAGAACACTCTAAAATTTAAGTTCAATTTTAAGAAAAAGAGAAAAAGGATTAATAAATACGTAAACAGAGTTATGCTGACTGATTTTAACAGATATTTTCCCCTCTTTTCATTGAACATAAACTGAAAGACGTCTAGAAAAATTATCAGACTTTTTGTTCAACATTACCCACCTAGGAAAGCACCTGCTGAAAAGTCACATACATGCACAAGCTCGTATTTGTACTTTCAGAGAGCCTCAGTGGATTCTGAACACTGAAGCTTTGAATTATCACTTCCATTACCCCACTCTGTTTGGACTTGCCCGTTGTTCAAATCCTGAGTCAGACGCATTTTATCCTGTGTGCCAATCAAACACTGTGGCAGAGGGTGCTCTTATTGAAACACCTAATGAAACGAGATTCATGCTGTCACCATGAAACACCACGGCACTAATAATGCTTGATTGTAGCTACTGCTGTTCTGCCCTCTTGCCCTGCACCACTCAGGCCAGTCCCAGAACCTCTCTAGATGTACCTGCTCACCTGTCAGTTTGAGCTTATTAGCCCTGCATGATGTGTTGGCACAGCCACATGGCACTGTGCCACCACGCACGGTACCAGTGACTTTCTTGGAGATCTCTGTGCCCCTCCCTTTCCACTGCCCAGTGGTGATGAGGTGCTCCCCAAATCCCGAGGAAGCAGGGCACCCCATCTGAGACCCAGTAGCTCATGGCTGTTCAATCCATTGAGTGCCTTAAAGACTTGAATAATATGTGAGATGTATTTTCTCTCTAGTTCTACGAAAGCAATGTGAATTCCTTGGAAGAGGTAAAAGGCAATAAATACAGCTGGAAATAGTCCTTATCTTCTGGACACAGAGAACGTGAACCAGCTTCAATAATATGCCTTTCTTACCGAAGGATCCCAAATCACTTTTTAAGCAAAATTGCCTTGTCAAGAATGTGGTTTAGCAGATCTCTTTGTCACAAATCTATTTGCCAAGGCTAATGCTCAAGTGTTTGGAAGCAATTTTTAAAAGGAACTGCATTTACTAAGACATTTTTAAATTATTGCCATTCTATTATTTTAACAAAATAGAAGCACTGACCTTAGAAATGCAGTCTGCTTCTTTGACATGCCAGCTTTTTTTGCATTAAGTTAATTTTGATGCACAAACCCTTGCAGATTTATGCATGCCTAACAATTCAATCAGAAAGCTAACTACTGGAGGCACCTTATTTACATTCCTGAATTTCTAATATTGCCCTTTGGAGGTTGTTTTTTTCCTCTCCTCCCTTTAATTTGACTCTTTCCCACTTACAAGCAACCTTCCTAAGTACGAGATCATCTTACAGAGATAATACCTTTTACTACTCAGTCCATTTTATGAGGGAGCGCTTCTCTACTATCATTTTTGCCAATATCATTTTGGCAGTAAAAACTAGACTTATTTCCCCACCTCTACTCTTCCTAGCCACTTCCATAGCACTCTATGCCTTCTCTTTTTTGTTCTATTTGTTTTAATAATCGCTGCTCATCATCACAACAATGGCAACTCAGAATTTAAAAACACCAGCTCTCACTCTCTTGAAGGAATTCTCTCTTTTGACATGCTTTTCAGTATGTTGTATTGCACCATGAAAAAGTGCAGGGGGCTGTCAATCCATATCCACTGTTTTTCAAGTACTCTTCACCATTTCTGCAATAATGTCAGGCTAACTACAAATTTTGTGCTTTATTTACGCCACTGATACTGTGCAAAAGTTTTTGAGTTCAAATCCCTGAAACCTGCTTCACCATCTTTCTCTAGTTCAGCTGTTTTTCATCTCTTCAACAAAGGTTGCTATAGCCTAGTTTTCTACATTTCTATATGGCACAAGCAACTAGTCTCACAAAGTGACTTGAATACGAGGCATTTTTAAGGGTCCCTCTTCCAAACCTCCAAGGTCACCAGCTCAGAAAGACACCAAATCAAACTATATCTTCAACCACTGCTTTACCAGTTTGTATCTAGACTGTTATCAGTCTCATGTGGTTTTCAACATCTCGAGACATTCAGTTGTCTTCAACCTGAGGGATCCTTTCTTAAAGCTACACGATGAGAGCCATATATTCTGTGATCATGGCAAGTTTCCATATTCCCAGCTACACTCTTTCACAAGCTTTGCAGAATTCTGAAGATTTATAAGCATAAATTAAACATATCATCTGCTGGGCTTACAGCCTTGAGGAAAGACATATTTACTCTGGACTGAGAGCCCTACTGAAGTGGCCAGGAGTTGAAACTGTTTTGACAGAAAAGGACCCATCTTCCACTACTACTAAGGACTGCAGTACTCCACCTCTTCCTGAAACAAGCACTGATTAGACGGTTAATCAGATTAATCTAAAACTAACGTGGCCTGTGATGTCTCTGGCTTTGCACAGAAATGGTTATCAGGAGGTTTTATGCACCTCAGACTTTACTGTAGCTTCAGCACTCCAAAAAGTTCCTCAACTTCCAATTTCTCAACCCCTTTATCTGCATCCTCCAAACAACTTGTTCCATCTAATGGCAACGCAGCCCGAGGGCAGCAGACACCAGGACTAGAGTGATCAGGACAGAAAATTTACTTTAAATCTGTTCTATTGTGTTAGTTCTAGCAAGGCACTTGAAATAAAAGAAGGTCTTTGGTGGGAGTACAGAGTTCTCTGCTTGCACATGGAGGGAAAATTACCAGAATTTGCCTAAGGTAAGCAGGTCCAGAAGTGTTATAGCCTGCTCAGTGCTCAGACCACATTTACTGAAGCTTCTGAACCAAAAGAAATTGGAAATTTGAGTCACATTAATAAAAACTGTGGTCCTTGAAGACTAGCTAGATAGCCAGTAAGGACTGACTTCCTCACTTTTGGCCTAGTGATCTTTCAGGTGCATTGCAGCTCAGGTACTGAGTGGATTCCTTCCTACTGCTGTGATGTTTTCCTATAAAACACTTCTCCTATTGCTCGTGAACAGAGGACCACGCATCACTTTAAGAGAGGAGAACAAATTTCCTTTAAAAAAAACCAACTTTTAAGACCACACAAATTTTAAGTCTCTCTTCCTGACATCACCACCAACACCTTGACAATAATTATTTAGAAAATACTTGGTTAAATACCGGTAGACTCCATTTACTTCATCCGTTTCGATTGCTGCATCATCGCAGAGTGCACAGAAGTAGTGGTAACTTCTGCGACAGGCTCTTTCCTCGCATCCCACAGTGGCTCCCTTCTTGCGACAGAAGTTGCACACCTAGAACAGGACCAGGTTTAGCAGGTCAGCTTTACAGACAGCTGCTGAAAACCCTCACACAAGGCAAACACAATCCTCTGTGGGAAAATCAAATCTTCTGTTGCGAGTCACCTCTGATTCATCAAGAAAGTTTACTCCTGCAAACTCCTACCCTGGCCTTTATTTCAGCTACCTTTTTGCTATTTTACCTCTATTTCATACTGATGAACTTGTAAACTGATGTGAAGAGCCACGTGAGGGCACTGGGCAACTTCCCCTCCCCCTGCTCTAAATCTTGCCAAAGTTATTTCAATACCTATTGGTATTAGTGCTTGCATTAATGTTTTCTATGCTAACTTTGTAATGAAAAAGAGTTCCACCCAGATGTAAGGGAAGAGGGCAGCTGAGAACAAAGCTAAGAACAAATATAAACAATCTTCCTTCTGCTAAAACTAGAAGGTATTTCCTTTTACACTTATGGATTGCATAATTTTGTTTCAGGTACTGGCTTAGTCCCTTACCAAAGTCTCTTAGGAAACTTAGACTAAGGACTTATTTTTCTCTTAGGAAGGCGAGTGAGAAAGGCCAGAAAAAACAACAGATTTTACTACAAAATGAATTAAATTTCACCAAATATAATATCAAATCAATATTTCTAACTCTAAATCTGTAATTTCCCTAATCTTAGTAGAAGAGACAGACCAAGTATTTTTCTGCCTTTTTTTCAAGCATGAAACAGACCAGACAACCTTCATGAGAAGGACTAAGTATGAGACAGGACTAAGTGCAGATTCAGAAAGAAACTCCTTACCAGTCGCTTTCCTCTCTTCAGTTCTTTCAACACTGATGCCACATCAAACCTTATATCCAGATTTTCTGGGTTATAGTCTTCAGATTCCACAAACCCTGAGGAAAATAACTGAAGACAAAAGAGAAAATATTAAGAATTAATAGAGGGACTTAGTCACCAGTGCAGAAAAGAGAGGAAGGATACATCTTTTCTTCTTGCACTTGCCCTACCTAAGAAGGCTGATTTTAATCTGTGTTTTAAGAGGCTTCACCTACATTGAACAAGGAGCTGTACTTAAACCTTTTCCCAATCAGAAGAAGTTCCTCTCTCTATACAGGAGATTTCACATGACCTGAAGGTGAACCAAGAAAACATAACAAGGTCATGAAGTGAATTTAGTAAGAAGTGGGAATCAAGAAAGTCTGGCAGTCCAGCCTGCCCAGAGTAAGGAGGAGAAGCTCTTCAGCTGACACCTTCAACATCCTGCTACCTGCCCAATTCCTCAGCCTTACAGAGGGATACAATATTTCTCTGTCATAAAATTTCCACACAGTCCAATGCTGACAACAGCTGACTGCATGAGAAACACAGGAACATTATAAAAAGCCTGGGTGAAAATCCACAAAAAATGTATAGGTACACATTTTGGCCACTTTGATTCCCACAGGAGTGCTGAGCCATGACAAGAAGTGAAGAAGGGGGAGTTCTCAGCAACTTCCTTCTAATCATTATATACAGCTAATTCCAAACACAAGTGAACTACCCTTATGTCAACTGGCAGGCACAGTCTGTCTGCTCAGAAGGTGACATATAATAACTCTAACAAAACCCCCGTTTCAAACAAAAAAACCAAGTAACACTGTAAAAATATGTTTCTAAACCATTCTGCTACAAAAAACCACAACAACATAATAGAAAAACAAAAGATGTAAACATAAAACCTGCAAGAATAAGAAGGCTGCAACAGTGAAAGCCAGAAAGTTGTTCTAGCAGGAGATGCACCTTCTGCACTAAGGGACCCTCACTGAAGGGAGAATATGGCATCTGAAATTGATTCCAACACACACTAATATCCCAGCTCCACTATGATCCCAGAATACAGGGAAAGCATTTTGACAGTAAGAAAAGTAAACACATTCTAGGATTACAACATGCTTAGAGCTTCACAGATATTTCCATATAATCAACCTCTGATAGTTTTCTTCCTTTTTTTATGTAAGGCACAGACTGTGAATATTTTCCTGCAAACGTTTAATTAAGCACACAACGTTCTGTGGTCACAGTGTGAAGCCTCAATTTAGTGTCTCAAGAAGACCAATTCCTACTGCTGGACTATACGTGTGTCTAGAAATATCGATCAGGAACAGACATGCATGAAAACACCACATATCAACGCGTCCAGCTCTGCAGCCGTGTCCTCCCCCTCTCCAAAATTCTAGCCAAGCCCTCCTGCTTTTCAATCTAATACAAGCTTGCTGGTTTGGATAACCAACCTTTTAATTCAGACACTATTTTTGAGTCAAAACCAGACAAGCAATGGAAACTTCCCTGTTGGGGCCTTAGCGATACTGAATGAATACCAGGGTTTGTGAACCAAGGCCATGAGCTAAAACTAAAGGATACAGTTGCAATTTAAGTTAGCAGAAAAGTAAGAAAATGTGGATGGGAAAATGCTGATAGCAAGAATTATATGCATATAGCATCTTTTTAGACTAATCAATCACTTAAAGACTAAGGGCGCGTGGACAACGCGTGCTACCCAATCAAGCTTGCTCTATCTTGCGTGCTCGGCGCGTGATCGCATGTACAGGAGAACAGAAAGAATATATAAGAACGCAGCCTGTTTAATAAAGTTGGATTTGAACTTGCATCACTTCCCCTTTAGTTCCTCTTCTCCCTTCCTCTTAGATACCAACCAACTGAAAGTCACTCACCAGACAATCCTGATGAGCTGCAATATCTTGCTCTTCAGCAATATACATGACAGAACCAGCCTCCCTGTCTGGACAAAACGCACATGTTCTTCTCACCATCTTCGCCATTATCTAGAAAACACCTGGAGCAGGAAAACTGGGACAAAACACAAAGCAATTGATGCAACTATCATACAATAAGCAGGACAAACACAGGAAAGCAGAGCCTCACGCCACACATTAGTAGCAAAAGTTTTACTTTGTCCGTGGTTTTTGTCCAAGTCCACTGCAGAAATCTTCAACACTTTGGCACTCCTACTAGGTGTGATAGTCCAAACTGCCCTTTGCTGGAGATGTCACCTCTGACAGCACAAACTCCTGTACAATACCAGTAAGAAAAGTGTGATTTTACTTCCAAGAAATAAGAATATTTGAAGTGAAATTATTGTAGTGAGAAAGAGGCAGTGAGGTCCAAGTACAAAACAGGCAAGAAATCTCACAGTCTAGCAAATCTTGCACACCTTTCTGTGGCTTTCAACTGCCAACCTTTGTTTTCATTAGAAACCCATCTCCCTTCCACAAAGTGGAGGGAGTAGTCTCAAGTGAGAAGAACACCAGAGTAGAAGGGGATTTCCCCCCCACACCTCCCTCACCTCTGTCACTGAGAATTCACTTAATCACAGCAAATCACTTCACCTCCACACACATCTGGTTTTTTTCCCCCCTGTCCTACCTCTTGTGAGCAAGGTAAGGGAGGGAGTGATTTCCAGTATCATAGAATCATAGAATGGTTTGGGTTGGAAGGGACCTTAAAGTTCACCTAGTTTCAACCCCCCTGCCATGGGCAGGGACACCTCCCACTAGAGCAGGTTGCTCAAAGCCCCATCCAGCCTGGCCCTGAACAGTTCCAGGAATCCATCTATATAGTGACCATCACATCAGTTCCAGAACTTAAGCATTAAATAAACACAATAAAAACAAGTAGAAATAGAAATATTAGAAATACAATAGAAAACAAAGACACAAAGAAATTAAAAAGCCGAACAAGTTAGAGTTTGAATGGTCTAGAACTCAGGAAAAGTTCTCTGCAACAAGCTAATACCTGGAATCGATGCAGATACATAGGCCCTGCTCAGGCCCAGTCAGAGGATCCAGTTCCGGAGGCTCTGGGAATTTCGTGAGGAAGAGGCTAAAGATGGAGTCTACAGTCCCTGGTGTTCTTACAGGCTCAGGAAGAAGCCTGGTGCTGCAAGAAAACAGAAGACACTTGGTCAACGTCAGCCTTAGGGTAGCTCCAGTGCCTTTGCAGGAACCCTGAAGTGGTGGAAGGACAGCTCTTGCCCATTCCTCACTGCAGAAGAAGCCAGCCTGCACCCACTGCCCTGTTTAGCCGAGTTCAGTCCTGTGTTCTTCTCTAGCTTTCTGCTACAGAGAAGACACGGAGCTAAACGGGGCAACAGATGCAGATGGTTGCTCTCAAGCAAAAAGGGAGAGTCTAAGGGCATGGCTGCAGTTCCACAGTTTAATTACATTTCACCTAAGCAAGCTCTTGCTTTTGCAGGTGTTAAGCCTGCTGCTCACAGATTCCATTTGACACCCCAGGATCTGTCTGAAAAGGTAAGAAATCATTGTTCCTTACTCAGCTCCACTTGTGACAGCATAGATCTCTTATTCTTCCTCCGACTGCCTCTTTTTCAAGTTGAAGAATCTGAAAATATTTAGTTGTTCCTTGTACAGAAGCTGCTCCACATCTCTGATTATCCCTGTCACTTCTTAATTTCTTCTCTACTTCTGCTGTGTTCCAATAGGAGCAAACGCCCTTCAAAAGGGTGGGCTGCCACTTTGTCACGCTTTAACCCTAACCGGCAACCAGGACCACGCAGCTGCTCGCTCACTCAGTCCCCTCTCGGTGGGATGGGGGAGAGAATCAGAAGCATCAAAGTGAGAAAACTCGAGGGGTTGAGATAAAGACGATTTAGTAAGTAAAACCCATAACTGTGCATGCAAGCAAAGCAAACCAAGGAATTCATTCACTGCTTCCTGTCGGCAGGCAGGAGTTCAGCCATCTCCAGAAAAGCAGGGCTCCATCACACGTAATGGTTACTTGGGAATACAGACACTGTAACACTGAACATCTCTCCCTTCCTTCTTCTTCCCCCAGCTTTTATTCCAGAGCATGATGTCATATGGTATGGAATATGCCTTTGGTCAGCTGTCCGAGCTATGTCCCCTCCCAAGTTCTTGCGCACCCCCAGCCTACTCGTTAGTGAGGTGGTGTGAGGAGCAGAAAAGGCCTTGAGAGCCTAGCAACAACCAAAAACACCACTGTGCTATCAAAAGTATTCCCATCCCAAATCCAAAACACAGCACCCTACCAGCCACCAGCAAGAAAGTCTACTCTATCCCAGGCTAAACCAGCACACCTTTAGAACACAAATTCACAACTCTGTCTTTTTTCCTCTTCTTTTCTTAATAATTCTTAATATTCCAGTCACATTTTAGACTGCTTCTAAGCACGAAGCTGTCACTTTCACAGACCTATGTATTGTAGTCTCACAGATCTCTTTCCTAAGTGGTATCAGTATGGAGGGCATCAGCATTACGATTGTTGCTCTGACACAGGCATCATTTTCCACTTATTAATGCTGGATTTTCACCTGCTATTTTATAGTCAAATCACTGTCACAAAGTCCTTCTGCAGCTCTTCACAGCCAGCTTTCCCTTTCACTGCCACAGGACCAAACTGTGGGAACTTACAGCGACCGAAATAATCTATAAGAGCTGGAAGCCTCTCTACTGCCCTCCAGTAACGACAGAGCAAATGAAGTGGCAAAACAGAAGACAGAGAAGAAGTAGCTGAGAGAAAGAAACAGTCACGTGCCTCTGGCTGCTTCTCTGGTACCTGTGCCATTTCCTATGAGCAGGGTTGGCTGGTGATTTTTTTTTTTTTTTTTTAATTGTGACAAAATGGACGAAATCGGGAAACGAAACAGAAAGTAAAAAGGGATTAGACTATTGTTGGCAAGCACACTGGAATTGTGCTACTTCCAAATAAACCTTATTGAAATGTTACCACTTTGCCTAAGTATTTCCTCTCCAGAACCATTTCTGAAAGCATCCTGGCATGTGAATACACACATTTTACACAGAGGGCAACTAAGACACAGCATGTCACTCGACATACCTGCAGGGGAGCGAGGAAAAAAACCCAAGTCCCCTGACTTCCAGCACACTGCCAAAACCCACTGCCCTAGCTCCTGCCCTGCTCTCCTCTTCCCCCCAGTATAGTGAAAGATGTGATCTGTTGAAGTAGGGAGAAAGAAGGAAATTACACACCAGTTACCTCACACTCACTGTGTTCTCCATTTGCACTTTGTGAGGAAAGAATCACTGCTGGTCATCACCTACACAAGCCCCCTCACCATTCTCCCCCAAATCATTAGCAGCATAAAAACATGCAGTCCTTGCAAGGCTTTCAGAACAAAACAAA